TATATATATATATATATATATATATATATGAAAAGAATATTAACTAGCTCTCCTCCCAACAATCTTTAATTTATTAACAGCTAAAATTCAACCTCTAATTTCTATATATATATATATATGTATGTATCTAAGACCAGAATATTCAGGAACAAGATTTTATGCTATAAATAAAATTACCTAGTCACATCAATTAGAAGTTTTTTAAAAACATTCATTTCTTACCAGCAAAGATCTTCCACCAGATATCATCCATAAGTCGCTTTCCTTTTCTGGATGTGGTTCCACACAAGGATCACACCAAAGAGACAATTTTCGAATATCATCAAGAAGCAACCTTTGTTCCCTCTCTGTTTTCTCAAGGCTTATTTTTGCAAGTTCCACCTCTTCAACACCATCAGGAACCACCTCATCTGCTTCCTCTTCAACATCCTCATCATCTTCTGCAGGAAAGGATAAGCTACTTTTTCGAGGCCTGCATTGTATAGTACACTGATTTAGTTTGAACATCAAGGACTTTGCTAAATTTCTTAACAGGATAAAAGGGATGACATCTTGAATAAATATCACATAAGTCAACTAACTATAATATCTAAATTGAAATGGTACCTATGAATTAAAAGCAAAAGATTGATTTAAACATCTTAATGAAGAGTGAATTTAAAAAGATAACGATGGTGGCATTTATATCAATACGGAGTGAATCACAAAATGAATGAGTGTTTGGAGTAGGTAAATTGACAAAAATGTAACAGAATGAGTGCAAGCACAGTAAATTTGTCCTTACTTTGGAAGACGTGCAAATAGAAGATTGGTCAATACATCCAGCATGACTTGAAACTGGCGTGATGTCATTGTTGCCTCTATATCATGAGAATTAAATGTGAGCTCCTTCAAAGGCTTTACCTGCAGTAGTTTAAAAAAAATAAAGTGTATTGACCACATCCATGATAAATGACATTTGAGGAAAAAGTGTATTTATTAAGGGGAAAACGTTACACATGTACATGTTCACAGAAATAAAGTCTAGAACAACTCACCTTCAATTCTGGAGTTCCCCCTTTGTGCCTTGTATACCGAAAATACATACTACAAGGCATAAAAACTCTTTCAAGAAGAGCCCCCGTACGCATTACCTTCGGAGAGCTTCTAAGAATTTTGGGAAGCCACTGCAATCCAGCACCTGGATCAACATCCGTTGGTGCAACATGAGCCTGCACATGCTCCAACATGACAGAGAATTCCATTCTTTTCCATGTCATTTCAGGTTGGTACTCATTAATAGGAACATCTTTCGATACAAGTGCTTGCTCAATTATCTCATAACCAACATGAAAGACTGAATGAAATGACCGAGCTAAAACTTGGCCTCTTACTGCAGCGAGCAAAAATCTACCCTGCTTGACAAAAAAAATTGATGTTTTAAAAAGAATGAGTAATGCCCACAGTATCAGTAAAAGAATAAAGAAAATTAAAATAAAGAAGTACCAATGCGTAAAACAAGTAACAATCTATTGGAGTATAGTTGTAATGTCACTAACTCTCTGTTAGTAATAGATATGGCATATTCAGAGAAAATGAAGACAGGGTGAAAGATTCCATTATTGATGAGAATAAGAGAAGAAAAAATATCTACAGTCAAGATTGAGAAGAGTGTTGAGGAAGATGACTGGTGCAGAACAGCCTAAAAACTGAAATTCAGTCAGTGTAGGAAGTCACCTACTACAAAGACTACAGTGAACATTGTACCCCAAAATACTGACACACCTTATTGATAAATATCCTTTTTTACTATAAAAATGTAGCAAAGACAAATAAGAAATATTCCCCATCATAAAAATGCAAGCGAAATATAGAAAAGACAGACAATTTAGCCAATCCATATCTCAAACAAGTATCACAAGAAAGTTATTCTTGTTTCTGTTTCTCTTAATCTGACTCAAGCACCAATGTTGAATTCAGTTTCTCAACATGATGAAGAAACTGCTGCCACAATGACTCAAAAATGTGCAAAATCAAGATGCAGGGGCTCATGTCACTAGTTTTTGCGGTTCCTCTTCATTTTGTGGTGGTTACAGCTCCAGTTAGAGGTCATGATTGTAGCTGTGGAGGAAGCTTTCCTCTGCTATCATTGGCATGATTATAATTATCAGCCTCCCATTCAAGGCAATTTTTACTTAAATTCTCAAAGAATTTCAAATCAGCCTTATCAAGGAAATTTTCATCTCTTCCTTCCCTCAACACCAACACTTGGCTCCAGCTCCTCTATATCCTCCAGCCAGCAAACTATTGTCTTCCTTCACAACAATTAGAGGACCCACCTACTACTATGATAACCAAAAACAGAGAAAATTTGCTACCTACTCCCGACCTTCAGAATTCCAATTCCAATTGATTCCCTGACTTTGGTGCTTCCATCCATGTTACTAGAGATAGTCAAGATATTCATCAAAATGTTCCTTATAAAGGTCCTGAACAAATTTACATTGGTAATGATCACGGTTTGCCAAGTCAATCCTCCAGATCTTCCTACTTTTTCTGCTCCTGATAATCCTAACATTTCTTCAGTACTTCATGATCCTACTGTTACTAAAATTCTTATCAGTGTTAGTAAATTTGCTAAGGACAATTCTGTTTATTTGAATCCCATGCTAATCTGTTTTGTTAAATCTCGCGTTGGTTCAAAGATGTGTTGGGCCTGATGATCGCTATGCTTTTCCTAATCTGTGGATTAAAACTTCTCCTTCCAGCCCCATGTCACATGCTAAATTTTCCATTTCCATATTGGCAAAGCTCAGATAATTCCTTCTTCCTTATCTCAATCTGTTTATCATTTTCCTCTTAAACTTGATTATATTGACTTACAAGAACATAAAATGAAAAGGGACCAAAAAAAGGAATTTAATTAAAAAAAACGGAACGTGAAACAACAGAAAACCAAAAGATAAAAATATGTTGTTTTATACTGACATTTGCATCCTCTGAGTGAAGATTAAACTGTGGCTCGATAACATTCACCATGAAATGTCTAGTCCCATCTAAATCATCCGAGTTCTCTTTTCTGACTGCCAACACAACAAAATGTGCAAAATAATTAAACTCCGTAAAAAAGAACTTAGTGCTCAACAATAATCATGCAAGAAACAATGTTGTCTGTCATAGCAGAAGCCATATTTTAACTATATATTTATCATATACGTTTATCTAGCCTCTGATATATTTTGAATGTCAAAAATGATAGCAGTTAACAAAAATTCTCAAAAGAAAATGGGCATACCAGATGGCAAGTTGTCCACTTTAACTGAATTTGGCGAAGATGTGAGTGGTCCAGGAGTACTCACATGCTGAAAAAAAGACTTGGAAATTTTACCAGTTGGAGGGCCCTTAGAAACATCATTCTGATCAAAATCAGCATCACGGCGTTGTTTGTTTTCCTCAAGTAATTTTCTCTGTGCATACTGCTGGGAAGGAGAAGGCTTGGCTGGTTCAAAGGCTTTGGACAGACCACCAACCCAAGCCCAAACAGCATCTCTGTTTCCAATAGTCCACAAAAGCTTCAGACCATACACAAACACACTCTGACAATCATCAGCTACTACCACATTGTTACCATCATCATCACTTAGGTCCGATCGCATATGATCGTCTGTTTCACTCCCATTTTCATACCCAGACTGTGTATGCGTCATCTCAATACTTCTTCTTCCTGCTTCTTGCCAATGTAATAACCTAGCAGGATCAGCCTTTGGAGATTGTCTTCTGATGGTGAAGTAATCAGAGGATAATAGAAATCCATCATCACAATTTTTTTCATTCATGTAACCCTTTTCACTAGGAACTTTGTCAATGGATGAAGATTGAGAACTTTTCAGTATCATGTTAACTACTTTAGCAACACTAGCACATTCTTCTTTGTTTATGAAAGCCTTTAGCATATGAAGATCAAGACCTTGGTAGACAAGATCAAGAATATCACGCTTGCTTTCAAAAGTATACTTTTGCTTGCCCCTACTGTAACACAGTTCATATTTCAGTTTCGTCATTGCAAAGGTCAGTCCTCTCGCCGGATCATCATCATCTAGAGGCATGTTCTTTATACAGGCTGGTGTGGCATCTAGACGGAGCATAAATTCAGTCATCACTTTATCTAATGAAAGATTGCCAGATCTGGTAATTCTTGGAATACCAAAACGAGGCCAACGAGAAAAGCTGCGCAGCTTATGTGGAGGAATGTAGTTCAAACTCCAGAACTTTAGAATCCATGCTAGATCATGAGCTCCAAAGTTAAATGTTGGGGACAGTGGTGAAACATTCTGGGAAGTTTGAAAATTATCAAATGCAGTAGCAACACCATCAATATCCCTAGAAATGGAAGATGAGGATTCTTTTTGTGATGGAGGAGGAAAGGGTCTAAGAGAGAAGTTCCATCGAAGGGAAAGTGAAGTGGATCTGAAGGGATCAAATACTTTATCACGAGGTTTGCCCTCAGCTGGAAGTGCAAATAAATAATGATTCATGGGATCTTCAGAATCACAATCCCAGTCCATTGTAACTTCAAGAGTAAAGACAGGAGCTTCCAGAAATGCACCTGAGACACCTGCTGGAATTTTAATGCCTCGTCTGTTCGCCAAACTCTCCAAACTACTCAACAAAATCTTAAAATCTTTGGCAGAAACAAAAACACGACCATCAGACTGGTGCATTTCCATAGAGTTGGTCACAATTTGAAGTTTGTCAACCTTTTCATAAGGATCTGTACTTGCTAAAACATTCCATTTTGATTCAGAAAACATTAACGATATTCTTCCATGGATATAATTTCTCATGTCATCCCACCATGGCAAACTCCGCTCCTTTTTGGGTGGCAGAATAAGTGGCCCAGGATTCCTTAAACTTAGATTAGCCCTCCGAAGTGCTACGGTGAAAGCATAACTAACATCAGCAAAAGCTGGTTCATAACCCACCCCAAATGACACCTCACCTTTCTGGAAATGTATGGGCAAGTCCGAGTATGTCTTCAAGGGTGGAGTAGTACCACTAGCTGATCGAAGCATACGAACTTTTCTCCATCTCCCAACATAGACATCTTGATATATTTGAGGCTGAAAGCTAGTTGCCTAGTTGAAATAAATGAATAAATAAATGAAAACGAAATGGAAATACTATCATGTTTATTATAGCATGAGAATGATCCCCCAAAAAAGGGTAAAAGAATTCAGTTTGAGTAACAGCAAAAATAAATTAAGAACACTTAAAAATTATTATTGAAATACATGTAAGCAAAGAATAACCAAATAACACATGTATGCCCAAAAGTTTGAAAAATGCAACAATAATAAGGTCCTATTAAGGTACAGGAAACAAAATGTTCTGCAATGCTTGAGTAACAGGAAACATGTATCCCACATTCAATGAACTATTTATACGCCCCTTCTGTACAATAACAGGACCTTATTAACGAAAGAATAATCAGAAGAAGCAATTACCATAAACATGAAAAAAAAACATTGCGTATTTAGAATGATGGTGGACAATGAGATTTCTTAAACTTACCTGCTGAGCCAATACAAGATGGCCTTCACATTTACCAGAACTTCCAGAGAAAAGAGGAAATGTGTAATTCCGAAGCTTAACTACAAGAGAACCTGTATTTAAGAGAATATTTGTCCCATAAAGTCGGGAAAATGGTATATTGTTTTCACGAATGACAGGATCAAGCTTCTTCAGAACCTCAATTATCCCAACATCTCCACCATCAATTTTTTTCAAGCTTACATCTAAATCTAAAGCAGATATTGAAAGAAGAGATGTCCTTGAAGTACTAGGTCTGAAACCAGATTGAAAATCATCCACACAAGCACCAGACCCTTCAGACAACACAAGATTTTGGCATGCCTGGTAATATGATCGAAATGATCGTTTATAAATTTCTTCCCTCATGGATTCAATAGTAGAAGAATCTTTTACATCAACCTCAACATTATTAAAAGAAATTTTTCTTTCTTGAGAAGAACTACCGGTGTCAGTTGATTTGGAACCTTGTTTTGGCTTCGATATAAATTCATCTAGAAAGTTCAACCGAATAGCTAACTCGGCAGCTTCCTTCTTCAGAAGCTGATAGTGTTCATCAAACCATCCCTGGATTGGTTCCTCTTCAATATCAGCAGTTAGCTTGCGTATGCAAAATTTTATGCTTCCAAATTGTACGGAGCTAGGTTTCTTAACTTTAGAGACCTCTTTCTTTACAGGAAAAATCATTTTTTTCTTGGCAGCAATTATGAGCTTCAAACCTCGCAACATATCTTCGATGACATCATCAATGGCACGCAATTGCAATCTGTATGGCATGATAATGTGAAAATCAAGACCTTGGACTACAAAATCCCATGTTGTGACATGCCCTTTTACCTCAGATGCATTTGCAGAAACACTAGGAATTCGGGAAATTTGCATCCTACTACTCTTGAAGACTCTAGCTCCATTAAAACTAAGCAGAAGTCCTTCAAGGAGTACTCCTATACGAGCATTCTCAGAGAAAATTGATTGCACCTGAACCATGGCCTCAACTCCATCTCCCAGCCCAGCCGAAATACTTAATGTTTCTACATCAACAGCAAAAATAGATTCTTTCTTCTTCTGCTTTTCAAGGTACCCTGATCCAGTAGCAGATTCTTTTTTCCAACTAGCATCTTGAACATGAGACAAATCTTCCATGTGTTCATTACCATGCTCCTGAAGCTTACTATTGTGTACAAGTAGCTTCAGCTGAAAAACAAGTTCAATTAGAGATAGATGTACGTCAGGATCCCACCTTACAGTAATATCAGTAGCACTAAAAAGAGAACAGACAGCAATGTCTTTGAGACCACCTGAACGCTGTACAAATTTGGCATTTTGCATATCAAACAACGCCACGTTTGTTACTTCCCTATTTTCCTCCATGTATTCCTGATAGGCAGATTTGGCTCTCTCAAGTTCCATCTGGGTGGACTGTTTTTCTTTGTTCACACACAAACTAAATTGAAATATTTCAAGGGAGACAGAGTACTTCAGCTTCTGGTTTTCATTAGAAATAGTGGAGAGTATATTTGCATTGCGTGGGGTACCATCTGCTGACACATTTATCAAAACTCTACCCCCTTGTGAGCCGTAATTAACTCGCTTGGGATCTGGAACAACTGTAGTTTCCAAACCTGTCTCACCCCATACATGTACTGAACACCTTTCAAGATTGAATTTCAAAAACTGAGTTCCTTTACCAGAAGATTTTGCCAAACGACCCTGACTATGAGTCGACTTTTTCTTTGAAGCAGATAAGCTTTTCAATAGAGCTTGAAAAGATACAGCTGTTGACACAAGTGATTCTACACGCTTGAAAGTTAGACATACTGTCATACCAGTCACATCAACTGATAAACCTAGTCTACACCTAGGACCATCTCCTTCAGATGATTCCACATCCTTTTTCCCCCAATCCAAATTAACCTTCGCAATGTGCATAATAGAGCCACAATTTGATTCCACACCAAAAACACTTTCTTTCAAGCATTCTTGATATTCATCAGCTAGGTGAAGATTTAACTCTCCAAGTTCAGTGTGTACTGTAGTCCCCATATTTGAAATGTTGTTTGCAAACAAATGTGATGATTGTGAGCAACCCTAAATTTGGAAGCATTAAAACAAACGTTAACTTAACTATACAACTTGTATGAGTAAACTTAGGGGGCATAACCATAATAACTTCCAAAAAATCAATAATCAATAGACTTAGTAGAAAGGAATTTAAAATGCAAAGAAGAAAACCAAGCCAATATATTTCCAATGCATATGCTGAAAATCAGGATAATATATATTCTTTATCCATTCTAACTATATAGCCATGTGATATGATATCTGATATAGAGTACATATAATATTCTCTATTCATGTATAATTAATAAAACAATCCTACAAAAACACACCATTGTGTGTTCAAACACATGGTTTCAGTTAATGTCTTTGTTTTCTCTTCCATAACAGTATAAATCATATCCTAGACACCATTCAACAAAAACAGTCAAAACAAATGCTTTGACTCTTTACATCTAACAACTACATCTACCCAAAACAGTTTCTGGAAATGCTTCAACATTTTAACACTTAATATTTTTTTAGAATACTCAGAAGTAAATATAATCATGCTACTTACATGATAAACCGGAGAACCAGCCATATTGAAAAGCACTATTGTCATCTCAGGAGCTGAGACATTGCATGTCCACATGATTGTCTTGCCATCAGTTGATTGAGGCTTTGCAATAACAGATGCTTCTTCTCGAAGTACCATCCTTTTCTTCTTAGACGAGTGGAGAAACAACCAAGGCTTTAACCTGCTCATTATGATGTTGCACTGAGTACCTCCTAACTTGATATCAGTTTCAGCTCTAACAGGTGATATTGGCTGATGCAGAAGAAGCATCCCCAATAATAATAACAATAAGTTACCGCAGCAAATAAAAAAAGAAATATTCAAACTCCATGAGCAAATAAAAACAAAAAATAAAGAAATATACGGTTAAAAAAAGAGATGGGGGTGGTCGGGGGAGAGGGGGAAGGGATTGAGTAGAGCATGTGACAAACAATTAGCACATATAAAGTTACATTTTAATCTACCCTGAGAAAAACACTTACCTGTTTTCTTGACATATTTGTTTCCATTCGTTTTTTCACTTCTAAACAGGATAGATTTATATATTTATTTTTCAAGTTCTTCTAGAACAATGTTAGGGACAATTGTTTGTAGATTTTTGCTCCTACTAATGACACCAGTACTTGACCTAACTATCAATACAAGTACAACACAGTATGTCATTCTGAAATCATAATTCATATATCTCAAGTCTAGTGATACTTGCCTTTCATATAGAAAAAAGAAGTAACAGTTTTCTGTAATGCATATAAGCAAGATTCTAAGAGACCAAGTATATATCAGCAATTTTTTCATCTTATTATCAGACATTTACATCTGGCCACTTATACATAAGCAAATTTTTGTATAACAAAATGCATTTTGTTTGCACAATAATCTCACGCATAAAACCAATTGTTGCATCATGAGAGCTCTTGAAGTAAAAATGACAAGACTTCCCAAGGGCCAAATAGCTTTGCAACACGGGCACACACACATCCACATATATACATGTGTGTGTACATGTGTGTGTACATGTGTAAGTTTACAATTTTTTTTCATTCTTCAATTTGAGTATATTTTACCCTGTGGAGCAAAACCAAAAGGAGTACAGTTTCACAAAGATGCAAAAGCTACAGTACATGGACTGCAAACTACTTACCTGTACTGGGATATATACAAAAGAGGCCAAATCCACCTTCAATATCTCCAGGATGGAAGAACCTGCTTCTCTCAGAAGCTTTATAAATAAGCAAAACAAAACTCGTCAGCAAGAAACAAAACAGTGAAAAATAAGAATCATATCACAAGCTCTGCCAAAATCAACAAACTCCATACATGAATTTCACTAAACTCCAGTTGGAAATCAAGGCGTGTACTCTCCCCAAGATCCTCTGTGGATCGCAATTTGGTGCTTCTCAATTGGATGCCCATGATGTTGTTTTCAATGAAAAGATTATGTTCACGATGCACAAAATTCACATCCAGCTTTGGAAGACTGAAGCTGACCTATCAATAAAAATTTACTTACACAGTTGACATTAAAACAATTAAAAAAACTTTAAAACCATTTCCATAACTACTTTAATAGATCAAACCAACAAATATAACCAAAATTGATCATCAATTTAAAGATTATAAGGTGTATAAACACTTCCAATTTCGATGGTACCCATATTTCTGAATAAAATGTACTCAAAGGAAGCCAAAATTCACCAAGAACACGAACACTGGAACACATACGCAGAGAGACTTACAAGTGAAGGAACCACATTTTGCCCAAAAGCCAAATTCTAGGATCCAGCAAGCCATAAACAGTAACAGAATCAAGACTTTGAAGCAACAAGATCATAACTTACGCAGTTTCTCTACCCTTCATATTTCTGAAAAAAAATGAAAGTTGCTTGAAAAACTAGAACTATCCACAACAAGGAAACCCATAACCAAAGCACCACATTAAGAGCATAAAGTTGGGGAAAGCGGCACAAAGACACATCATTACACCACACAATCAACTAAAAAGATAAATCGATGATATAATAAATCTTTCTGATTAGGTAGATCAATATTCTCCACGACACAAGTAAAGCATACAACATTCAGAATTAGTAAGACACTAACTCAAAAGAAATAACTAGGATAGATAGGAAACCATTACACAACAATCATAGTTTGATACGGGTGGGGAAATTCAACTACATTGAACTAAGAAAAATCGATGCACTAAAAGTTCATACAAAATAAAGTTGCCACTAACACATCATTTTAGTTCACAAGAGAAGAAAACATTTAGAGAGGAAAAAGAAAGAAGTACAAAACTTTATCTGTTGTATTGCTCATTATTTATCAAAAAGAGAGCAGATACCAGACCTAAAAGTGCTACACTAGCTTCCAGGCTTGTATGTCAGTGGACCATATTAGAGAAAAACAAAATGTATAGACGTCAGACTGTCTATGCAAAATATTGTAGATGAATATTCTCCCAAAAAAAAATCAAGAATAAGATTGGAAAGCCGATAGGCTAAACCTACAGATTTGATAAAGGCAGCCAATTGTTTTACTATTATCAAATCAGAACTACATTATTTTAATTTATTCTGGCCTCAACTTGTTCTCAAAGAGAATGGAGGTTCTGCAAATATTTTTCAGTGAATAACAAAATATCAAAATACTGTCAAGGGAACATCAACTAAGAGATTGTTTGTTTCTAGGGAACATCAAGAGAAACTGAAAGACAAATTTGAACATATTAAAATTTAGATCTAACTCAACCTTATAAACAGCTTATAAGACAAGGATTGCAATCTTACATACTTTAATTTGGTCATATTTATTGTTGATATGAAATCTCAAATACACATTTCTCATATCAAATAATACGTCTTAAGTGTATAGATTTTGTAACTAGTCTGTGGATCATCTGATAAAACTCTTATAGTGAGTGTGGTCTAAAGAAGACAACAACAATCACTAAGAAGGTCTTTGATACCATATTAAAATTTGGGTTTAGACCTTACTTAACCATACAAAAATCGACTTACATTACATACTTTAATTAGGCCGTAATATTATTGGTAGATGTGAGATCTCCGACAATAAAGAAAGAGATGCAAGAAATAGATTCAAGTAATATACACGAAGTGATACATGTTCTAAAGATAGTAATATGCAAACTTTTGATATCCAACCAAAACATATGGTTTCTCTTAGAAAATGAAATGAATGGTAATGAAGAGAATTTGTTAAACTGGTTATTATACCGGTGTACTTCCAGTGTTTTTATATGCTTTTCAGCTTTTAAAATGATTGTTTGTGCTGATTACTTATCCCTTGCTTTTGCCTTCTATTGCTTCCTCAATAATATAAAAGTGATGGTTAGAAACAGACAGGAGGTTGGTTAAATTCACAACCTTTTCAGGAAACATAGAGCTGTACTTGGAGAAAGCAACAAGTGTTTGCATCTTCTTTGATGGCCCTTTTGCACTCACAGAATCAGCATGTGACCCTACTTTGCTGCCAGGCCCAGAAGAAAACTCTGATGAACTCTTTCTCTTCAAAAGCAACTCCTCATTCAAATTCACGTTGACCTCTCCACTAGAAATGTCCATACTCTTAATAACTATACCCACTTCCCTGTGTCCAAAAAGAAAGACAAAAAACTAACTGTAGAATTTGTATGACGATAGAAACAACATATAAAAATAAAATAAAATAAGGGCAGAATCCAAGTTAATCTTAGAGTACAACAAGAGTACAAGATACAAAACAAGTTCAGTGACACAGCAAACCAAGCGCTAGTTTAAGAGTCCCCTCCACAGAGCAAAACAATACATGAACAGAGATAAATAAATATATATATATATATATATTGTTAGATATATTATCTTTATTTTATATTTATCTTTTATTTTTACTAAGTTTGTTATTATTTTTTATTTGTATTTTCGGTTTAGCCTATATTTTTTCTATTTTAAATAGAAGATCCTATATGTATATTTAATACAAGGAAGATTAATCTTATATATAGTTTTCACTATATTCAACATATATGAAGAAAGTTCCATTTGATAAAATCAATATTAGAGAAATTTATACACATGATAAAATCAATATTAGAGAAATTTATACACATGACATGCCACCAAACCTTGGAAACAAACCAAAAAAAAAAATTACCAGATGATTTGACATTTTGAAATATGATTTCTACCCTGCTATATTTGTCAAATTAAGGTTGTATGACACCCGCCTTTTTTGGGCTTCTGTTCTCCTTAAAAGGAGAAATTGGGCCACAGGTTTTTTCTGGAAATCCCTAAAAAGTTAGGCAGCTTAATTTATAGAGAAGAAACGGGGGAAACAGTTTTTAAAAAAAAAAAAGGGTGAGGTAAAAGGACTTTTAGAACAAAGTTACAAAGCTTCTCATTACTATTTGGGGAATGGTTATACAGTGAGCAATCAAATGCGGTTATACAAGACCTACACTAACATCAGCAACTTGCTGTATTTCTTTCTGTAGCTCTCCCCAAGGATGATTCCAACAACAACTCCTTGCCTCACCTCCCTGCCACCCACCCCCACCACCATGTCCTCCCTTCACTCACCTTATGTTTGTTGCATAGGCATCTGGTCATTATTACTAGGATATCACTTTAGTTTCTGAGGGGCTTTCACCTCCTTTTCATAACATGGTTGACTTGCTTTTCAGTTGGTTCTTGGTGCCTAACCTTGCACAATCAGATAGGCATGTTATTTTGGATATCTTCTTGCATTTTCAGAAGCACTAGGTCGGTAGCCTTCCCATGCCCAGCTTCTACTTCATTTTAAAATTCTTGTTTAGAGCTTTAATTTTTAAATATATTTTAAAATAAGGGGCGAAACACTCCCAAAATGTCTAGTTCTGTTATGTTAGGTCATAACTGAGTGTTCTCTACCATTGTATATTAAAAGCTCGCTTATCGGTTGAAAAGACCCATTGTGTTCCAACTGTACAAATTACATGCCAGACAGCTTATAGATCATCTAACAAACACCTACTTCTTACCCAACCACCATTAAGACAAGTGCAACATTAATTTTTAAAAAAAATGAACATAGAGAAAAGATATACCTATCATGATCAAATTCACACGAGACAGAGAACAATTCGCAGTAAAAAGGAGCTGAAGATCTTTCTATAGTAGTAATGGATGCCTGCCCAGAAGAACTACATCCTTCATCACTTAAATTAGATATTAGGTCACAGCTGACCCGTGGCTCACCAATGTGAACAAAAATAGGTACTATATGCAGTCTAACTAATAAATTTGACTTGGATCCACCATCTTTCGATATATCTAGATTCAATTCCTTGATCTCAACCGTAGATTTTGGAGTCTGCAATGTTCAATAGAGATTCCCAGTGAACAAAAAAGTTATAATAAGATTCAAATGGAAACAATAATAGAATCAAGTTTAAATTTAAAAGTAGCCAGTGTGAAACCTATTTCATTTATAAATATAATAATCATTACATTTGATTGTCTATTTTTAAATGTATTATGTGCTTTGCATGCACTCCAAAAGTTATGAAATTAAAAGTCAGCATGTGTTTGATCATACAAGCAGAACAATACAACTTTATGGAGATGAACACCTTCAGAACCAGATCAGTCACACAAACAGATAAATATCTTGCAATATTGCCCACAATAATCCACTTCCCCCTGCCTGAAGCACGAGATTTCCTAGTTTTCTTCTTCCCTGGGGTTTTATCTGGAGGCCTCAAAACAACTTCTAGGTCACATATTAACACTTGTAGCTTGGGATCCCGAGACATGAAACCCACACCAAGTTTAACAAGGGACTGGCGTAAGCTGAGTTTAATTTCACCAACAGAAACAGATTCAACAGCACCCTGTACATATTATAAATCAATAGATTATATCACCATAGACAGGGGTCTGATAACAGAAATAATCATCACAACTCTCAGTGGAATAAATACAGAGTATGGCAATGAGCTGAAGAAAATTGATAGCAGATTCAGAAGCTAAGAAAAAACTTGGGGAAAATTGAAGATGAAACTTACTCAAAAGGCGTGGGATGTAACAATTTAACTATTCAATATTTACATCATTTATTACAACAAATTCCAAGCACAAACTACATTTTAGTCTCCCTACTCTCTAGACTGTAGGCTAATATTCCCCGAGTCCCTCAATGCCCTTCAAATTTCTAAAAACGAAACAAGGCGTGTGAGTAAAGGCAAAGACAAACCTTTTTAAACTTCACTACCACGTCCCTTAAACATTTCCATCCGCCAACACGAAATCCAACAGATGCTCCCAAAATCCGGCTTAAAATCCAAGCCACCAGCCCAGAAGTGAATCTGTAATAAAAATGCAAGAACATGATGGTTCAAAGTCTCCAAAGAATTTTTTGCAGAACAAAGAACAAAAGTATTGGAACATAATACTCAATCTTAAAACACAAAAATAGTATATACTTGTCAATTGCACTAGGGATAAAGCAAAAAATTGATGGCAACTTGGCCAAAAAAACATCAATGTTATATAATTTGATCATAAAAGTTTGTGTATTCCTGCATGGCATCTCCACGAGGATCATCACCCCTATTGAGTTGTCTTCCCTCGACAGCAGGATTGTCAACACCACCACACACCAAAAGTCAGAAACATGTAATCAAATGTCAATTGCTCTAGATCGTCATTTAATAAGAATATGAGAGCCCACCACCACTCCTATTCAGTTAACTATACATAATTTATCTACACTATTTGTACGACTAACAAAGAGGAACAATAATATTTTGATCAAAACCAATGGCAATAGACACATTTACATTCAAATAAAGCATCATATTTTTTTCTAAAGTTATCAAGAATAAGATGTTTTTTAAAACATAAACTACACAACGAAAGCATAATTAAGACTAAGGATTTTGGTTCTTTAACTTCAATTTTACGTATAGTTGCTTGTTTTTTGTGAATGATACAATTTTGGTCGAGGAATCAAGTAAAGCACTTAACTTTGAAAATAGACTTTCGAAATACACTTAGGAAATAAAGGGTTTGTTCTTGGGAATAAGGCAAAATATACGCAATGTAGTTTAAGCAAGGGACACGAAGAATCTGATGTGGAACTTAAAATGGGGGGGGAGATGTTATACCACAGGTTTCTAAGTTAAAAGATATAGGCACAACACTACAAACTGATGAGGGAAATTAATGACAATGTCAAAAATGGGATTATAAGGGGTGGCTAAAATGAAGAAAGCCATGGGAAGTTGTGTGAAAAATACCTATCAAACTTAACAGCAAGTTTTACCGCTGTGTCATTTGTCTGGTTGTACTCAATGGTAGTGAATGCTGGGTTTTGAAGGAACACGAAGAAAAAAAGGTTAAAGTGGCAAAATAAAGATGTCAAAATGGATGTGTGGTCATACAAAAGTAGACATGATAAAAAATTATTGTATACAAGAAATTAGTATGCTGATTGAGGAAGAGATGATAGAAAACCGGTTAAGGTGGTTCAGACATGTACAAAGAAGGCCCCCTGAAAGTACACCAATGAGAAGAGTAAATTAAATGATTTTTAATAAGATGAGGAGAGGGTGATCAAGAAGGACATTGAAGGAATTGATCAGGAGAGATCTCATGGTAAATAATATTACTAAAACTTTGGTCTTCAACAAAATCGAAGGCTTTGTGTGATCCATCTAGCCACAGAAACAACCTATCCGCTTACAAAGTTATGTTAAAGACATAATTCTCTCCAAACTCCACAAAAGTAGAAACCTTCAGTACTGCAATTCCCCTTTTTCATTAAGTTGTCGAAACTTGCTAAAGCTATTAAGGGTGATTTCACAGCACATTAAAAACACTTTCTCCTAATGTCTGTGCTATATGTTTTTTATAATTCTAAGAGTAGTAGGCAACTATTTTTTAATGCTATTTGTGGTGTTGACCATTCAAATGGGATGCAAAGTCTGTCCAGGAAACCAGCTTCAGAGGTTTCTTAAAGTCAATTCAAAACTACAAGTGCAAATAAAATTTTTACTTTAGAAGGAACTTTGACCTTTGAAGACAAGGCAACATTTAGAACAACAATTTTACTAAATAGGTTCCAAGCAGTGATGTAAATATACAATCAGGTGAGAGATCCAGATCAATTAAAGGATAAGAAGAGTCATTTTTTGATACTCTTAAGATAAACTCGTTTAAGGAGTAGATTTTCCATTACTTCCCAATCAACCTAATTTCCAAAAGTAATCGTATTTTAGTCCAACAGCTTGCTCTTCGTTGAACCTAAAGGCAGTAGTAACTTCCTCCCCCTTAGACATAGAAAAAACTAGGTCCCCTACATCTCTCCAAACTATCGGTTACAAGATCACTTAACTCTTTCATAACCATCGAAAAAAAGTGATGCGGCACTAGTACTAGAGAACTTTCCCCCTTTGACTACACACCTAACCCGTTGCGTTGCCTCTTACTACACCAACAGTCTTCAGTAAACACTCCCAACAATAGTTCAACAACACTTTCAACAGGCAAACAGGCCTTCTAAATCATCAGCAACCATTTCAAGTGTCAGACAAGTAGTTTAAAACACGCCTTTCTCTATTCCAACTAATAACATATCAGTAAGCGAACTTTAGAAACTCAAATTGCCGAGTGCACTAAATTTCAGAGAAAAAAAAGTAAAAAAATAACTGAAGAACTTACATGAAGACGAGCCACAATGTAATCGAGAGTAGCAAGAATCCAAAGAGGAAATTGACCGGAGAAGCCGCCATTTAAGAAGGGAAAAACGAGTGGTTGGAGGAAAACTATTCAATTTCAATCGAACTCTCGGAATTCCGCGAGCAGAAACACGTAAGCGGTTCTGTCGCGAGATTCCATCAAAGAAAGACGACAAGAAGCAGAGAGAAAAGAAAGCGACAAGTGAAGAACCCTAGAGAAAGAAAAGGGAGTGACGAAGGGTTTGGTGGTTGAGAGCGTCGTGATCGGAAGCGTTGCTGAGTGATGCTTTATAGTTGATTCCTCAGATCCGATCCGTGAGATGCTCGGTGAGGTGATCCAAGGCGGGTTGGGTTGGGTCTGTGAGAAAGTGGGGGGAGTGATCAGGTGCGACGCGGTGCAGGAGAGGCTTCAACGATTTATAACAGCGAAACTATGACGTGGCTCACTGGTGGTAAAACTAAGGGGTCACTTTTTTTCAACGCTCCGTTGCGTGGTAATGGCGGTTACTCGCTGCGAGGCTACGCTACGCTACGGTTCTTTCTTTGCCCGCGCACTTTCCTCATGATCTCTACTGTAGTTGAGTGCTTCAAGGTATCTTTATGTCCCTTCTCGGACTTCCTACTACTTAGTACTACCATGTCAGTGTTTTACTTTTCTATTAAATTTTTTCCTTCTACTAATAATTATGATTCAATTTTAGGACCAGGGCCACGCTACCACAGTTTTTTAAGTGCTTCGTGCTCTACCACAACAAACAAGTACCAATTCAGACTGCGTTTTTTATTCGATAATAAACTTGCATNTATAGTTGATTCCTCAGATCCGATCCGTGAGATGCTCGGTGAGGTGATCCAAGGCGGGTTGGGTTGGGTCTGTGAGAAAGTGGGGGGAGTGATCAGGTGCGACGCGGTGCAGGAGAGGCTTCAACGATTTATAACAGCGAAACTATGACGTGGCTCACTGGTGGTAAAACTAAGGGGTCACTTTTTTTCAACGCTCCGTTGCGTGGTAATGGCGGTTACTCGCTGCGAGGCTACGCTACGCTACGGTTCTTTCTTTGCCCGCGCACTTTCCTCATGATCTCTACTGTAGTTGAGTGCTTCAAGGTATCTTTATGTCCCTTCTCGGACTTCCTACTACTTAGTACTACCATGTCAGTGTTTTACTTTTCTATTAAATTTTTTCCTTCTACTAATAATTATGATTCAATTTTAGGACCAGGGCCACGCTACCACAGTTTTTTAAGTGCTTCGTGCTCTACCACAACAAACAAGTACCAATTCAGACTGCGTTTTTTATTCGATAATAAACTTGCATTACAACTTCTAACTTTGATGACCTGAATTATACTTTTATCAAATTCTATTTTTTATAGTTTTGATTTTCATTTCATTGGGCCACTTACTGAACATGATGCGATGCATCTTACAAAAACAATAATGCACCAAATAAAAATAATAGTTGGATTTTCATTTCATTGGGCACTTACTGAGCACGATGCGATGTGTCTTAATATATTTTTTTTCTTTTTAACCTTATTATATGTTTTATGTTTATGTAAAATCTAAATCCTTTGTTCTGTCAAATAAAAGTAGTTGTGTCAAAACTATTTTTAAGAAAACTTATCAAAACAATTGGTAATTGGTTTGCTAACATAAGCTCTTTTCTTTTCCAGTTAGTTCATACATTTTAGCAGAATGTACCGAGTTTTAGTAAACAATATATTATGATATCTAAGTTTTAAGTCAATGGTATTTGAATAATTTTCATCAATTATTTTGTTATTAAAGTAGAAAACAAATGAACAAAGTAAGAACGACAAATTGCACTGTCACGAGTTGTTGTGTGTGGATGTGAGAAATGACGGAGATGAGAGATAAACAAATTGGATTAGTGTTGTGTGTGGATGTGAGAAATGACGGAGATGAGAGATAAACAAATTGGATTAGTGAGAAAGGTGAATGTTTCTAATTTTTTCGGTTGGGACTACTAGAGATAATAGAGAAAATGTTAGAGTGAGAAAAATGAAAGAGAAAGGGTTGACAGAAATGAAGATTGATATTAGTTTTAAAATTGAAAATTATTCAAATACCATTAACTTTAAAACTTAAAATTCATAATATATGAGGTTATTTTTGTCTACTAAAATTCGGTACACTCTCCTAAAATTATCAACTAAATAAAACCTACAACCTCATATATATATATATATATATATATATATATATATATATATATAATATTTGTTATGACCGACTATAACAAAAAAAAATTATTATTAAAATAAAATTCTTTTTTTAACTGCCCAAGATACATCCTCATTCAATTTACTCTTAATTTATTCGATGTTTGGAATTTGAAAATAAATTCTATAAGTTGTTGGGTTATGCTTTAAATCATTTGGACGGATGTATTTCGTTTTCTTAAATATATTTATTTAATAAGTACATTAGTAATATTTTATCACATAATATACAAATGTTAAATATTTTTTTAAGTTAAATTTTATATTTCTTTTATTTTTATAATTTAACAATAAATAATGTTAATATCTTTTATGTTAAAATTGGAAATGACTTGGTGTTAATCTATATATTTAGAGTTTTTATTATTTTTATTTTATTTAGACAAAAGACTCAACAAAATTTCTAATAGAATAGAGGAGTAGAATAGAAAAAAAAAAGTCTTTGATTTAAAAAAAAAAATACTCCTTATATATCTTTTAAAAAAATAACATTCTTTTTGTGTAATAAGTCAGTTGGAAACCTTATTGATCCGTTGTTTAACGGGTAAACGATTAGCCTTTTGACAATGTGTTTTCACATTGACATTTTCTTGCTAATCGATAAATGCTGGAAAAACTTTTTTACTCTCGACCAGATCTTCCTCTATTTATATATATATATAAAAATTAGGAGTGTTCACAATTAAACATGTTAAAAAAATATCGGATGATAGACGACCTTTATTTAGTGAATCGATGCAAAACTATACCTTGGAAATCCTATTGTCCCAAGTCACCAAGGTCGGCCACAACTTGAACGAACATGTTTGCAATCGGATAGTATAAGTCCTCAAACAAAACACGAATTTATTCACTTGGTCCCCAACCAACATGCCAAGCATTGACCTTTCATTTATGTGCCACCACCCGTCCATCCTTTCATAGGCCAAACTTGTGGCCCAAAGGAAGGGAAAGTTCAATAAAGAACGTTGAACTGCAACCAAGAAGGAGGTAACAACACTCCTCGAAGACGGATTCATTAAAGAGGTTACTTACACCACATGGCTCGCTAAAGAAGGTCAACAACAAATGGCGTATGTGTGTCGATTACACTAATCTCAACAAACCATCCTAAATGACACATATTCACTACCCAATATTGACCAACTTGTAGATAATGTTGTAGATTATGAGTCACTGAGTTTCCTATATCCATATTTAGGGTATAATCAAGTCTAGATGTACCCACATGACAAAAATAGCCTTTAGGACGAAATAGGCCAACTTATACTACAAGGTCATGCCTTTTGGTTTGAAGAACGCTAGGGTAATGTACTAGTACCTAATGAACAAACTGTTTGTCAATCTCATGAGAAAAAAAATAGAAGTCTACGTGGATGACATGGTTATCAAATTCATTATTGCAACCAACCATCCAACACACTTGTAGGTCGTCTTTGACAAGGTACACCGTCATAACATGAGGCTAAACCTGGAAGAGTATTTATTTGGTGTAGGTGGCAGCATGTTCATAGGCTTCATGATAATCTGGAAAGGGATAACAGTCAACCTAAACAAATGTGAAGTCATACTCAACATCATACTCAGCATGAGAAACCCAACCAACCTAAAAGAGGTCCAAAGTTTGAACGGTATACTGGTCTTTCTAGCTTGCTTTTTACCATGCCTAGCATAAAAGCAAAACCCCTCTTTAGGATATTGAAAGGAGTTTAGAACTACACTTAGACCGAGGAATATGAAACCATGAGAGTTGTTAAAGTAGGAGGTTGGAGAACTCCCTATCCTTAGCATTGGCTTTGTACCTAAGGATATCTCACTCAACGATTCACTTAATCCTCGTCATGGAGGAAGGCAAGGACACTATTCGATATATTTCACAAGTCAGACCCTTCAACTTGAAAAAGAGTGATACCTTACTATAGAAGAGTCTGTCTTAACTATAACCTCTTCAGCCCGACGACTACACCACCACTTAGCTTCAACATTTGTGTCTGTAAAGACTATCCTACCTAGCATATCCTATAAAAGCCCAAGCTTGTAGGACACATGTTAGTTGGTATAACTTTTCGAGTTTGGACTAACCTACCAAAATTAAGGACCAATGAAATCATAATTCCTCCCATATTTCCTCACTAAGCTCCCATCTAAAGGGAACAACTCGCATGGTGGTCCCTCAACGTCGATGGGTCCTCTAACAATGAGGAAAGTGACATAGGAAGGATGACAAAAATATTTGTGTTCGTCGATATCTGCGATGGATAATTGGTTCCCACGATTATTTATTAGCTGCACATAACGAATATTTTAATACCCACTATCATATTATCTGTACTTGCAAAAGATTAAAGTAAATTTAAGGCTTAATACCTCTTTTGGTCCCTCGAAAGAGGGGGAATGTTCATAATCATCCTACCTTTTTTAAAATGTTCAATACGGTCCCAACTTTTAAAAAAAATTGGTCAAATTAATCCTTTTTGGTTACGCCGTTAAATTTCTAATGATACAGCTGCCACCCTGGACAAAAGTTAATGACGTGTCCAGTTTATCTGACTGCGTGGCAACCCTAATTCCCAAACCCTATCTTCCTTGTGCCGCCAGCACCATGGGCAACCGTAGGCCGCCGTCAGCCACCCTGCCGTCTTGCTGCAACCTCGACATCACCAAACACCAGCGTCGCCGTCGGTAGCCACCACCGCACCAATACAGAACGCGAACGCCAAAGTCGTGAGTCCTCTCTCATCATCTTTAGCATCTTCCTCGACTTCCATCTCCACCATGAGACACTTTTCAGGTCGCCGTAGAGTTGCAAGGACCGCCATCCACCATGACCATTGTAAGAGCACTCTCTCGCACACACCTGTAGAAACCCAAACGGAGAAATCCCCAATTCCAAAAAACTTTCAAAACCTAAATCACCGCCACAGCTCTTCAATTCATCTCCTCATGAGTTTCACCCAACCTTGAGCTAGCCATCAACGCCTCCACCAGACCTAAATCGCGTCATCTCCCACTGCGATAAAAACCCACCATGGCCAATGTTCATCATCTTCTTCGCACGGTAGAACCATCACGCCGCACCTCCAGATCGCAACCTGTACACCATGATTTCTCCACCTTCGCAAACCGCGAGCACTTGCAAGAAAAGAAATCCAGACAGAGATTCCATATCCAAATTGTAATCCTGATCGCGCAACCATGGTTTCTAAATCACGACTTTAGGGAGCCTGAAACATGAGGCGAGGTTGCGGCAAGATGACAGGGTAGCTGACGGCGGCCTACGGTTGCCAATGGTGCTGGCGGCACAAGGAAGCTAGGGTTTGGGAATTAAGGTTGCCACGCAG